GCCAAGGACGAGCTTACTCTTTGCTTTGTATTTATAGCTCCTATCACAGTGTTCTCTTGAACTCAATTGTTACTTTAAAGGTTAAACATATGTTCAGCATTTTGGTTTACACTGTTGGTATCTCAGAGATATTTCGGAGTAAGCATTATGAAGTGAAGTTAAATTTTAGACAAATTTTAAGCTTTTTCACATTGAGAGAGTCTAAATTAAATGGGCATTGGTGTATTGATATCACTTGTTTTCTAGAATAGATGGATCAGTCTAGGGACTAGAATTCAAGTTTGATGCCCATTTGGAAGATCATACCATGTAGTAATTGGAACCCCACCCCAAATCTTTGGGTTTCAAATCATCGTTCCTGGGATGTGGTAGAGAAAGAGTAAGAAAGCATATTCTGGTGTGCACTTCTGGTTTAATGGTGGAGGTTCTGGTTTCCTTCTTCTTATCAGTGTGTGCAGGTGCTTGTAGAGATGAGTGCCATTGCTCATCCATGCCTCATCTGGGTCTCAGGTGAGTGAATCGTGAACTGAACATGCTAGCCCTTATTTATCAGATATTTTTCTTCTAATTATTGTTGCTATCTGCCTGAGCTGGATATTTCACTCCTTGAACAAACCTTGAGTTCTGCCAGACTCAGAAGGCTCAGTAGCTTACGTTGAGCTCTGAGGCCACTGGCCCATTCAGCAGATTCCTTAGCCTTTGAAAGGGGACTTGTTTCTTGCTGAGGTTAAGGTCTCTTTTATACTGTTAGAGATGGTTATTCCAATCTAGACAGCAAGATTGTCTTAAATGCATGGAGAGGTTTTGAGTTACATGTAGCTGGCAGAGAGAGTTTGCACTTTGGTCCCACCTGGACATTGTTTGACAGTTAGTGGCATCTTTGAGGGATGGGCCTCTGGCTTGCAGACCTCACAGCCCCAGTACTGGCTGTGAATGGGGAGAATAAGTGCCCCCATATTTTAGGGAACTGAAAAATGCAAGGCGTTATTGAGAAACTCAGATTTATTTGAAGGATCTTTGAACTTCTCTTTAAACTTTTACTTGGTAATGAGACCATTGCAGAGAGCAATGCTATGTTGTCTCTGCAAGTCAGGAAATAGAGAGGATAGGCTCTGTATACTACTTGCAGACATTGGTAAGGTCACAGAGTGCTCCGTGTCTTCAAAGGGCTTGTAGCTTCTCACCACCAGCTTGCCTTAAATGGTTGTTGCAGAGTCTGGCCAGCTGTGTTGTGGGTACCTCGGATCCAATTGCTGTGGTAGTTTTGGGGAAGGCATTCTGGAGGAGGAAAGATGGAGAGGTGAATTTACTGAAATGAACTTTCTTGTAGCTTGGGGAGGTGGTGAAGCTAGAGGTTGGCACTTGAAGAACGAGGTGACAAAGGATGCTGGGGTGCTGAAGGGACTGGCAAGACCATTGGTGCTAAAGGGATGGGGCCTGGTAATAGACAGGCTTAAAAACCAAAGTCTAACCTTGAAGTTCCAAGGATGTGCCATGCAGAAGTAGAGCTTAAGCACAGGAGATTCCAGCTCTGTGTGTTGGGTGATAGTGGGATGTGACCATTTAATGTCCTCCAGAGTTTAACCCAAAGGAGACTTTTGATCCTGCTCTGTTGGCCTGATGACAGAGCTGAGTCTGCTGTTCAGGAGGCTACAGGTACTAAGGGAGGCAAACAGAGGAGCCTCACCAGGCCCCTTGTCCTGACTCTTGTCCCCCCAGAAAGCACCATCATTTACCTTAGTTCATTCTCCTTTAACAATGAGGCCCTTTGTTATTGCTGCTGTTGAGTAGGGAAAAAAGTCTCGTTCAGGTCACATTACCTACAGGCCTCTGGACAGTCACAAAGAAAGTAACAGCCTAAAACTGTGAGAGGAAGGAAGTTTTCAGAGCTTCCAAAGCAAGCCAAAAGCAGTCAAGCACTGAAGGAAAGGGACGAGGATTCTTCTGACAAATGATGTATGGATTTGTAAGGGAAAAGGAACTGTTGTTAAAGCCAATATGAGGCAGAAATGTTGGACCCTCACACTAGAACTTCAGAAACACCCTCTGTTGAATAGTGTACAAATAAATCTCTGCTTTCCTTCCAGGTAGGGACCCTCCCCAGCCAGAGCCTCTAGCTGACTCCTTCACACTGACGTTGATCCTATTTCCATTGCTTTCACACCGTGCACACTGGAGATGTGCGAGTAGTAATTCTCAGCCAAGGCTCTGGTTTGAAGGAAGTGGATACTGTAAGCTACCCACTAAGACAAGAGGGCCTTGTATGGAAACAGTCCTCTGAAAGTCCCTCCGGGCCACTGCAGTATACATATTACACTGTAGCACAGCAGAAGCCTGGGGGCCAAGAACCCCCTCCAATGGCAACATTGCTGGTCGCTGGGCCCGAGCCAGGCCTTGTAGGGGCCTTCTGGGTGGTAGTGGTGTCTGGGAGGCTTTGGTGGTTTCTCTCCTGGTTGTGAACTGGCAGCAGAGAAAACAGCATTCCCCCTCGTGCCTACACCTACTTCCAATCCCTCATTTCAGATGCCCTTGGCCCTGCTGGCTAGAGCGTGTGCCCTGCAGTTTGCTTGAGAAAACACCGAATGTGTTCAGACAATGAACAAATTGTTAAGACAATGAACTAAAGTTGTCAGGGATAGACCAGGGTCTCAGACTTTTGCTGCTGTGACACGTATCCCTGTCACTTTTCCTTGACGCTGGAAAGTGAGACGTGTGATTCCTTCAGGCTGTGTTGGTGCGGGGATAGCTCACTGGGCTGTCTCTTAGCTTTAGCGGAGTAGATGCTGCATGGCCTAGTCTCGTCACCCTCTGGCCCCCCTGCCTTTTGTCAGCACCCGGAGTGGTGGCAGTAGTGACAGTGTAAGTCAATGAGCCTCAGCATGTGGGAAGAAGTCTTGGTGATTGTTGACATGGAGTTGGACATCGTGTCCCTTGGTCTGGGTGTGTGTGTAAAGTGTGTCACTTCTTTCACAACATTGAAGACAAATTGGTGAAAGGTGGCAGGTCTTTGTTGTCCTCTGTGCACAGACCCCTGCAAGGACTTCCCTCGGCAGAGTGTTCTGTGGCCTGGAGTTCTTAGCCCACTTTCACTCTTGAACCCACTGTCAGTCTCAGGCTATGGGATAAGGTGTAGAAAAGTATTTGTTGCCAGTGTTGTGGTGCCTGTGATGGGTCAGTGCAGGGGCCCATTCTGAGCTCCAGATTGAGGGCATGTGTGTGTGTGTTCATATTTATCTTGATTTGATTAGAAATTTGGTCTCATCACTTAAAACTCTCAGTTATGTGACTAGATGGTATTATCCAAATTTGTGATATACTTTTTCTGATGCAGATCTACTCTTTCTTTTACTGGAACTCCTGGGCTCTCAGCTCCCTCTTACTGTGACTTGATGGAAGGTGGGATGAGGTGGGAAAGGTTTTTCATGAGTTTTTTCCTATGTGCCCTGTTCTCCCTCTAGCTTTGGGTTTCCCAAATTTAGTGCTCATTGAAATTATTTGGAGAGCTTTAGAAGTACAGATTCCTGGGCCTACACCAAAGATTCTGCCTGAGTAGGTCTGCTGAGTCCTTGTCCTGGGATTTCAGGAGTTGCCCAGATGCTCAGCCAAAATTATGCTTTTTCCTCCTTCATTTGACAGTAGAAGCCAGGCCAGGATTTGACTTTGGATCTAGGCCATCTAAGAGTTGTAATTTTAGCTCAGGACCTTCAGATTTATAGGCGTAGAGGCCGCAGAAAGGAACTGAAGTTCTTTCCTTGCAGACTGGCTAAAGGAGGGAAGGCTGACAAATACTGCCTTGTGCACTGGAACTGTAATCTTAGACTGAGCGCCATACAATATGTCATTCATACTTGGCGTATAGTCATCTCTGAGTTAAAGTCACCACATTATTTATTTTAAATTTAAAATAAATATTCTGATTGTCAAAGTCTTTTCTCTCCAGGCCACACATTCCTGTGATCCATTTGCAAAATGCCATTTCAGAGGCTGAGTGAAGAGACCAAGAAAAAGGCTAGTGCCTTTGTCTTAGGGCCTTGGTGCAATTAGTCACTTACTAGTTGCTCTGGCCTTGTGGGAAAGGGCAGATAACAAACCTAGGAAGAAGTGTTACATGTCCAACTTGAAACAATTGCTAAAAACCGTTATTTTTCTTCTAATGGAATTATCTTTTGTGCAAGGATTTTAATTAAAAAAAAATAGTAACTATCCTCGGAATACACTAAGTTACTTTTGCCATAAAGAGCCTTAAACTCAGTGCCCATGCAGAGAAATCAGAGCAGAGAAGGAGAAGGGCCAGGCACACCCTGCTGGAAGTTCCCACGGATGTGGCATGTGTGTTATCAGTGTTACTGAAGTGGTGTGTCATGTTTGATGACTGAAGGAACTGAGTGCAGTGTCACGTTAATTGGAACAGGAAGCATACTCTGGTTTGTGTGCTGAGCAGATAAACTGGAGCTAAAGGCCAGTACTTGGTGGAGGCCAGAGCCCACGACACAAGCTCCATGCTGTAACTCAGGACTTCAGAAACCTTTGAGTGAAGTGGAGTATGCTGTGTCCTGGGATGGGAAATTCCCTGACTTACACGTGGTCTAACAAAGTGACCGCCCTTTCTGTATCTTTCATATACTTTGAGAGACAGCTGTTCTTCCTGTTTTAGTTTTCCTTTAGTCTCCTCACTTCCTCCTTCCTGTCCCCACCTCGACAGTTTGGAACTTCCTAACTTGTTCATTTCCACGGGGGACTTGAGTCTGGCTAGGGTGTATAGAAGCATCCATGTCTTGTTCAGCATGCCTGAAAGACTGTTACATTTACCTCAAAGGTCACTTTGGTGGGTAGTGGCACTTGGGATAATTCTGAATCGTAACTTTGGAATTTTATGAATCAAAAAGACAGAGCTCCCACTCCAAGTTGAAGTGTGGGAGACTGACTCGTGGACTTGTGATTCACCCGCGAAGGAGAAGCACTTGGTTCACACTAACTTGCACTTGACTTTCTTTCCCCAGCATCTCCTCCTGCCTGCTACAGCTCCAGCAGTCCTGGGCAGATTCTGGAAGACCCACACTACTTTTACCCGGACTTTGGGCTCTATCCTGGGAGGCATGAAGCATCTGCTTTGACAGTGGAGGGAAACACTGGGACGAGGGACACAGTTGGTGAGTCCTGTTTGCTGGCCTTGTGTTGGAAAAGCAAAATGGCAGCATGGTTCTCATTTTCAGCTCTTTCACATGCAGTAGGTCCCCTTTGCTGTGATTTCATTTTATCAGTTTCAGTTACTTGAGCTGAGGTCTGAAAATGCTAAATGAAAATACCAGAAATAAGCAATTATAAGTTTAAAATGATTTCATTGAAGTACATTGTTGTAATTTGTATATTTTATTATTAGTTGTAAATTTCTTAATGTGTCTAATTTATAAATTAAACTTTGTCACAGATATGTATGTCTAGGAAAAAAACAAAGCATATGTAGGGTTTGGCACTGTCTTTGGTTTCAGGCACCCATGGGGGGTCTTGGAATGTGTTCCCCAAGGATAAGGGGGAATTACCACTCTTCTTATTTTTCTTTATTCGCTACCTTTGGTTTAAAAATCAGCGTATTAAGATTACTGGTTCTCTCTTTGCTGGTAGGTGCCTTATTTCTATTCATGTTGTCCCGTGATGTTAATAAGACTATTTTGCTCTAGTGCATATCTCCTTTCAAGAGTTGTGTCTAATTATGTAGGACTTCAGTTACTTCATTTAGTCCCTATTTTTTCTCTATCCAGTTCTCCAATGCTTTTCCCTCCTTTTTCCCAGAACCTTTCACTTCTTGTTTCTTTCTCTACTTTCATTTTTCTTTCTTTTTACAAACAATTCAGAAGTTCAGAAGAAATAATTCAAAACTGTAGTATGAAAAGAACTACCTCCTTTATAACAACTCCCTGTCTATTTTTTAAGGCTTTCGAGAGCAACAAAACTATGAGAGTATCTTTAAAACCACTGTAGGAAAGGATCATCTGGTTCTTGACAAATGTACTTATGACCCATCTCTCTTACTTCAATGAAAAAGTAATTCAGTAGTTTCCATGCTTGTTGAGATCCACACCTTTTATAATTCAAATAAATAATTTTCTGTTAGAATTATATTTTTATTTTAGTTTCATTTAAATTTTTATTCTCATGTAAATAGGCTTGTTCCATTAAGCCTTTCAGATCTATTACTCAAGATAAGTGCTGTGTCCTTTTCAATCTCAACTCCAACACCCACCAGCATGCTAAAATATAATAGGTTGAGTACATATTTGTCAAACGAATGAGTGGACCAGTCCACTCAACCCTGATCTCTTTCCTTGCCATGTTCATTGGTTATTACAGTTATTTGGCAATTCATCTTGTGTGAACTCGTGAACAGTTTTTAGTGTTGAGCTCTGGGTTTGCTTCTCAATGATAGTATGTGTCCTTTAGAGTATAGAATACACTTGACTTTATTCCTCGTGCTTTCTTAGGAGAAAGATATTTAGTCTTCTAGTTTTTCAGAGGAGAGAGGGGCAGAAAAGCCAAATAATTTGCCTGAGGTCATAGAAGTGAGATTTTCTTTTCTAATTGCCAGAAGTCAGGGATAGCCATACGATCAAAGCTGAGCTTCAAGATCCAGTCTGTGAAATTCTTTAACTTCCTCCATAGTCATTTCCTGTGTGTATGGGACAGGGCTCTAGGCAGAGGACACAACTCACAGGTGTAGTAGACAGTACTTTCTGCCACTGGAGCTTGGCTTGGAAGGAAAAGAGACACAAGCGAGGGCTTTTAGGAGACTGTTTAGGGTTTCTCAGCAACTGGTAAAGAGAGTCACTGGTAAAGAAAACAAGCTAGATGAGAGAGCACGTTGGTGTAGAAACGGGGCTTGGTTCTAATTTCTAAACACCATAAATGTTAAACTTCTTAACGAGAATTAGGGGACTAATATAGAGTTGCTGTCTTTTGTTAAATCAAGGACACTAAAAATATCATTGAATAAATGTGGGAGCAAAGGAGAGATAGGGCCAAAGGTGTATGGAGTCTACATCTGGATGACTCACACAAGGAGGGTACCATTCATAGGAAAGAGAGATGCACTTGCAGAAGAAAGCTGGTTTTGGGAAATGATGTGCTCTCTGTCTATAGAGAAACACAAAGTTAGCATTGCAAGAACTGAAGAAATGCAGGCTTCTGGTGGGTGGGGGAACTGAGGCTGGGAGAGTAAGTACTTTTCTCAAGGTCATGCTACTGGGAGGTAGTGGAGTTACTACTGTCATAAATGCTGCATCACATCCTTAATGCAGTACCCAACAGTACCTGTACCATCAGCAGTCATGGCACTTACATTCTGGCAGTAATAGTCCTAGTAGGCAGTGCATGTCTCTATTCTTTCACTGGCTAAATGTCTGAGACCAGCACTAAACTATGAGTTGTGTGCTGTGGAGACACAGGGAAGATAGGAATCTTGCCTTTGGAATTTAGAATCTCATGTCAATAGAGAATTGCCATGTACCGTGAGCATTGCTCCACCAGCAAGTGCAGTGGGGGATTTGGAGAAGGAGGACTCAAGCCTGCTGGGTTGTAGCAGGAAAGGTTAATTCAGAAAGTAGCTTTGGAGCCACCACTCAAAACCTGGGGTTTCCCAAGAGATCTGGTGAGAGCCATCTTTCTAGGGAGAGAGAAAAATTCCAGCAGAGCCCCAGAGCCTGGAGAAAGCTAGCATGTCTTGGAAACTGTACGTACCTCGGTATTGCTGGAGCTTGAACTCCAAGGGGTCGTAACCAGTGGCAGGAAGAGACATGAAGTGTGGCTGGACAGAGAGATGGTGCCTGCTACACTAAATGACGGGATGTCAGTTCCATCCTGTATTGGTTATTGATGAGCAAAGTGATATGATTAGATTTTACAGTTAGACAATTTTCCAAGGTAGTTTGGAAGTTAGGTCCAGATCTGAGGAATGGGTTTGGAGGTGGGAGTGAGACTGGAGTCAGGGGCACAGATAAGAACTCTGTTGGAACGGTTTTGGTATGATGCCAGTGGCTTCCAATGCAGAGAATTTTGTGTAATACCTGGCATATCATATACACTTTAAAAATAGTTCTTGTAGTTATATTGTAGCTATTAATAATAAACTTGGAGATTGGCACTAGAATAAAGAAAAGGTGGTAATGGCCTGGATGTTAGGGATAAGGGAGAAGAAGGGATTTGGGGAAACTCCCAGGTTTCTGGCTTGACAAAACATAGCCAATGCTGAGGATCCAGGGGTTAGCGTGGTAAGTGTTGGGAGAGAGGAAGATGTGTGGAACAACATCTTAAGAGCTATCGGCTGCCAATGTAGATGTGGAGTCATGCCTCAGGAGTTGAAGACAGGGTGGAGATTCTGTTGAGTGAGGGCAGGAAGGTGCTCAGGACAGAGCTGGAGGAATGCAGAATTTAGGGGCAGGAGGGAGGAAAGGAGTGCATAGAGACTGGAGGAGGGGTGGCCTAGAGGAGAGTATTTCAAGAGGAGGGAGGGCAGCCATGTCACGTGCTCAAGAAGGTTAGGTGTGACATAGGAGAATTGGAAAACTGCCCTTAGATTTGGTTGCTGATCAGAACTTTGGGACATGGGAACACTGAGTGTGGGTTGCTTACTGAAGACAGCTAGAAGAGGAGGAACAGAGAGACAGGGTGACAATTAGAGGTCTGTGATATACCGCAGGAGAAGGTGGTTTCTGTGTGCTTGAATTTGGTTTTGGTGTTTTTTTGTTTTGTTTTGTTTTGTTTTAAGATGGGAAGATTTCAGAACATTTATGTGAGGAAGAGAAAGGGCTGGTGGGGAGGTTAAAGGAAAGGGAGGGGTTTGAAAGATGGAGTGAGTTGGGGGAGCATATGGAGAGCAGGAGAACACTGTGGGTTGGAGAACCCTGTCTGAGATGCTGACGGACAGTTGGAGCTCATGGTGCATTTGAGGTTACGTGTTTAAATTACTGTAATCAGAATGCTAACTGTCACCATGTACTCATTGACACCTATCTCTTGGGGCACAGCCTGACACTTCTTTTCCTATGCTTGTCTTTTAGTGGAGGATCCTTTTTGTAACTTCCACTGCTCAACCTTCCCGAGGGCCTCGGAGGTGGAGATGAGAGGTTCCGAGGATGTGACTGCTGGAACAGTGTTACAGCGGCTGATCCAGGAGCAACTGCGCTATGGCACCCCCACCGAGAACATGAACTTGCTGGCCTTTCAGCACCAGGCCGCAGGGAGCGCAGGACCAGCCCACGCCACAAACAGCTTTTCTTCCACGGAAAACCTCACTCAAGAAGACCCACAAATGGTCTACCAGTCGGCACGCCAGGAGCCGCAGGGTCAAGAACACCAGGTGGACAACACGGTGATGGAGAAACAGGTCCGGTCCACGCAGCCTCAGCAGAACAATGAGGAGCTGCCCACGTATGAAGAGGCCAAGGCCCAGTCGCAGTTCTTCAGGGGGCAGCAGCAGCAGCAGCAGGCGCCCGTGGGCCACGGTTATTACATGGCTGGGGGCACCAGCCAAAAGTCCCGCACTGAGGGGAGGCCCACGGTGAGCCGTGCCAACAGTGGGCAGGCACACAAGGACGAGGCGCTGAAGGAGCTAAAGCAAGGCCACGTCCGCTCCCTGAGTGAGAGGATCATGCAGCTGTCGCTGGAGAGGAATGGCGCTAAGCAGCACCTCCCTGGCTCAGGGAGTGGAAAGGGGTTCAAGGCGGGAGGAGGACCCTCCCCAGCCCAGCCAGCCAGTAAAGCTCTAGACCCTCGTGGTCCTCCACCCGAGTACCCCTTCAAGACCAAACAAATGATGTCCCCGGTCAGCAAGAACCAGGATCATGGACTTTTCTATAGTGACCAGCACCCTGGGGTGCTCCATGAGATGGTCAAGCCTTACCCTGCTCCTCAGCCCGCGAGAACAGAAGTGGCCGTCCTGAGGTACCAGCCACCTCCGGAGTATGGGGTTACCAGGTGATTATCAAACCCAGAGGGCAACCCAGCTTTTCAGTACTTAGGACTTAGTACTATCTTTAATACTTAGAACTTTCAAAGCATGCAGGGTTTTGGTCATTGGTTTGTTTTTTTCTTCTGTGTAATGTTTGATAAGACATTTTAGGGTAAAAATATGTAGGGTGAAACAGAGTAGAGGCAGCAGGGGTTTCCCAGCAGAAGACAGCTGGAGATGGAGGAATGCAAGGGAGGAACCTCCCTGTGAGCACCCTTGGGACTCTGCCTAGACACATGCAAAGAGCAGCCTTCTTGGCTGGCTTTGTGGACAGCATCCAGACTTCTGGAACATATTATTACCACGAGTTTATAGTCTCCTTCATTGTAGATTTTAAAGGAAAACAGTCTGACTGTTAGAATGGAGGAGTTAAAGAGACTTCAACTGTTCAAGCTCCACCTTCAACAGATGGGAAGCTGAAGCTTGGAGACTCAGGGGCTAGACTCAAGCCTCCTGATGAACAATGTCCTTTCACTCTCCTGCCCTAATTCCTCTTAGAGCCTTCTAGTATAAGTGTGTCTTCTGGCTGACTGGTGGATTCAGCAGTGTGTACTCTGCAGTCTTATACCAGGTTCACATGGACCTTAGACCATGGTTTCTGGGGAAACCAGTGTCTGAACAGAGCACTGCTGTTCAGGAGAGAGTTTGCAGAAAATCCTGTGGGAACAGACAGAATAGCATGGCTCCTAACTGGAAGACTGGAGAGCGCTGCCCAGAGGAAATGACATTCAATGTTGGGTGTTGAAGGATTAAAAGAGCTTGTAGGGTGAGATGGAATAGCAGGGTGTGCTGTGCAGAAGAAACACCACTTCTGGAGACAGAAAGACCATGTGGGTTTGTCTGGACCGAGGGGCAAGGGTACAGAGCACAAGTGGGCCAGGTGAGGTGAGTTGTGGCAGAGGATATGTTTGGACAGGGAAGTTGGGACCAGTTGGTGAAGGTCTTTGAGTGTAGAATTTATCCACATGCAGTTAGGAAATGTGTTTTAAGGAAGGGACTTCGTGTTGATATTTAATGCTGACTTTGATAATGGTGCAGGCTGGATTAAAGGAACAGAGAAAAATTGGTGAGGATGGCTGAGGTGAGTGAGAACAGAGGATCATCATATGTTAAGAGAGGCAGGGAAATAGGACTGACAGCATTCGATGAGCAGTGGTTAGATAGGGAAGTTGAGAAAAACGGCAGCTGAGAATACAGCAACTGCAGTCAGGCTCTCTAGAGAGAATTTGGGAGCAGCCAGAATTTGGATGCTTGTGTAGGAAGAATATAGAGCGTGAAAAGAGAAGACACATGGCCCCAACTGTGTTAGATGTATCATTCTCTAGGTTTTTCCACAAGAGGGTTTTCTCTAAGCCTGGGTGCCCTGCCCACCTTCTGGAAAAGGAGTGAGCAGACCTCTGCAGAGGCTCACATCGACTTGATCACATTGGTTTACCATGATGTCACTTCAAAATCAAACCAGAGCTTAAGCATTTAACTCAGCCTCTAGAGGGCTTGCCATGGGGTCAGAATCTCCCTAAAGGAAGTTTCTTTCCTCCTCGCTCGCTTTACTTTGTTAAACGGGAGTGCATAAACTGGGTCGTTCTGCTTGTTACTTAGCGATAAGTATAATACGAGGTGTGCGAAGTGATTGATGGTGGGGAGAAGCACTTTCCCAAGGCGCCCAGTTACTGGTGGAAAGTGTCATTTGTCTTGAAGTTATGATGTCAGAAAGAAGAAGAAACATATAAGGGATTGAGCACACTGCCAAGCTTGGCCACTGGGTTGACATGACACATCAAAATGCCCAAGAAGGTGTAACAGACAGGCAGTTGAGCCTGTCCCCAGAGCTGGCTATAAGGCCACTTTGTGAGCCTGCCCATGGCTAGCCAGCATGGCTCCAGCACTGCAGCCCTTGGCCAACTAGGTAAACAAAGCTGCATCCACACATCCTGCTTCAGACACTTTTAACACAGTCTGAATCCCAAGGGTTGAGCCTAAAACCCAGTAATGGGTGATATTCAGCTTATCTGTGATCCAAGAGACAAGCAGCGTTCCTTTGAGTTTCACTGACATGTTCCCTTGTGCCTAAAGGGTTATCTGTTGGTTGACAGTGAGGGTTGGAAAGCCGCAGGCTGTTGGATACATACACACCATACACACTGTAGCATAGACTCCATCATTAGGGGAGAGGCCTCTGACTGAATTCTTGGGGGTGAGCTAGCATGGCTGGCAGAGATGAAGCCCTAAGAACTGGACCTGCTGCCAGCAGGAGTGGCTCTGGTTTTCCTCTTGCTCCATTTTTCTTTTCTCCCAACCTGAACTTGAACATGGGGATAAGATGGTAATTAAGCCTTTCCCATGGAGAATTGTGCCTTCCCCTCACAACCCTAAAGCAAGCATTTGGGTATTCTGACTCACTTGTGGAAACAGACAAGAGCTTCCAGAAGTGGTGGCTTGGCAAGGCAGTCAGCACTGTTGATGGAAATGACCAGGGGATGATCTGAGTTGAATCAAAGCAGTTTGTAAATTTGTCCATGTTTCAAAAAAAATTGAATACTAGAGATGCTAAGAAATTACTTATTAATGCTACTTCCTAATACAGCTGCTAACATTGTCCTGCACACATTAACCTTTTCAGGTTATAATCAGATTATATCCAGTTTAGCTTTTTTCAGGTAGCATAGTCTCACAGACTTTTTTCCACAATCCTTTATTTTTAAAGCCACTCATTTATTGGTATATAATATTTTATAATGAACATAATTTATGATGCCATTTCTCTATAAATAATGACATGAACACCGTCATGCATACCAAATTTTCCACACTTCAGCTTACTTCTTTAGAAATCATTATTTAGAAATGAAATTATTGGGCAGATTATTATAAACATCTGTTGGCTTCTGAGGCTGGATAACTTTGCAAAAACACTGCACTGCCTATTTTACTGCAGTTTGACTAACATTAGTCATTATAATTATAAAAACTTTGCCAATGTAAAACGAAAATAGTGTGAACTCCCTATTTTAATTACATTACTAGTTAGATTAACTTTTAGGTGGTATGTTTTATTAGCTAGACTTATTTGATCTTGAAAATTGGTCCCTCGTGTTTTTGATCATGTGATTTGTATGTGTTAGTAAATCTATATAAACCGAAGCCTGTTTTCTCTAGCACTTGCTCCAGTTTTTGGTTTTCTGCAATTCCTTTTCCATCTTTAGTGGGTGTCAGTGGAGTGCAGGTGGTGGCAGGAAGACTAAACCTTCACCAAGTGCTAACTGCATGCAGGCACTTTGTTCTTAATTTTTACAACAATTCAAAGGCATGGATACTATTCATAAATGCTTTTTACACAGGTTGAAAACCAAGGCCTAAAGAGAGGTTGGACAGTGGGTCACGGTCAGAAGCTTGGTGGTGCAGGAGCCAGGGTGCAAACCTGGAGCTCTTGCTGCATCCTGCACCTCCTGTGAGCTGAGCACACAGTCACTGTACCTGCAGTGAAAACACAGACTTAGGTTTTCACTTGGCATTACTCATCTGGTGAATTCCCGGTCACCATTATATGTCACAGAATAATAATATCATCTGTGATGTCAGCCTCTTTACTTCTCACCTTCTCCAGGAGGATCAGAGTAGTGATTAAGTACTCCAGACTCTGGTAGTGAAGCCCTCTGGATACTCCTCTTCCTCCAGATGTCCTGGAAGACCACAGGAGCAAACTCAGCCCGCTGACAGTCACAGGGTGTGAGCATTAGCCTGTCTTTTGGCTTGCCTTCATGTGGAGGTGGGGCCCAGGGCAGTGGTGTGTTTTCTTTAGACATTTTTAGCAGGGTGTTGCAGTTATGGAAGATGATGAATGCTAAAGACTTATTTCTATGTTCTAGGCAGTATCAGTTTGGAAAAGATTAGAAGTGGCTTCTGTTGATGGAAAGAACACTTAAAGCTATCCCTTTCGGCTCTCTGAGCCTGAGAATGTCTTTTTTTCCTGTTATCATGGCTCCTTCTTACCTGATCAACACAGGGGGGTTGGTTTCTAGCTTTCCAAAGCAGGGAAAAGTGGTACCTGTTTATTAAGGAATGCGTCAATTTGATTTTTTAGTGTGAAGATACTTTATAAAAGCTTTAGGATGGGAGTGTTTGTCCTACCCTTCTGTCCTAGGCTGATGAAAACATAAGATAATGTCAGAATCAAAGCTGCTGTGAATTTCCTTCCACAGAGCTGGCTTCTCGCTTCTTGTCACAGCCTATCATCACCACCACCTTCCTTCTCTTCAGGACAAGGGACATGCGGTGTCCTGTGCTAACTGAGGGCACCTATGGTATGACCAACTCTCACCATCACTGTTTTCCTTGTGAAAATGCAGTGTGCATGGCTTTTCCAAAAACATGTCCAGATTTTGTTTTCTTTAGGACAGAGTCAAAGGTCATTCTCTGAGACTATGACAAAGGACAGTGCAGGGAGAAAGAGAGAGTAAAGAGAGAAGGACAAGCACCAGAGCACCTGTGGCGAAGTAAAGATCATACCTGTCTCCTGAAACCCACATCCTCCCAGCAGTGCAGCCAGAATGCAGTTTAATACGAACAAGCATAAGGATTTGTGCTAAATGCGAGGTCTTCCTCTTGTCCTCCATGTTTGCCATGTGTTGTCTTACAAGAAAGAAGGTTTAGTGGCCCCATCTTACTTTGAGTTAGAAATGGCTGGAGGAGGGAGAAGTATTTTGGGAGTATGTATGTTTCCAAAACAGTAAATTATGGTTCACAGTTTATATACATGAATGAGCTGCTTATGGGATCAAAAGGTGAACCAGACTCAGGGTTGTTAAATTAAAACTATGCATGGCACTTAGTGAAAGTGAGGCCAAGCAGCCTGTTTAAATTCCCCCATGTAAACATGAGTTTTTATTCCAGCATCGGACCTTGGGAGTTTCTACAGTATTTAGGCTAACTTGTGGCTGGGTGAGCCAAGCAAAATGCCCTGAGTTCTGAGAAGCAGCTCTGTAGTGTAGGGATCTAAAGACACTAGGGTCAAGTTCAGGTTACTTTCCCAGGAAACCTGACACAATTCCAGCTGTAATGCACTAAATGAGTAACTTCTCTAAACAGGAGGGTTATCTGTGTTTACCACATAGCAATGATCTTGATCTTACTTTACCAGGGTCAAGACTTAATGTGAACATTGATGAGGCTTACAGTTTGCACAACCGAAGGCATCCAGTGGGGAGCTCATGGGTTTGGGAAAAGAAGATTCCAGGGAGTTTCAGTTCTGGCTGCCCTCCCCTCCCACACACATTGCCCAAATTACATAAGTTCTCATAGCCTCACCTGCATTTCTCTGTCTGTGTGTCTGTCTGATTCTCTCTCTCTCTGTCTGTCTGAGACAGGGGTCTCACTACATTGCTCCCGCTGGCCTTGAACGCCTGAGGTCAAGTAATCCTCTTGCCTCAACCTCCTGAGTAGTTGCCCCACTCGGAGTTTCTTATCTGCAGCTTATTACATAAATAAGACATGTTCATTGTAGAAAATTTAGAAATACATGTAGTTCCTACTACCCCACCCCCACCCCCAAAGCAGGAAAATATTACCTTCAATCCCATTATTCAGTGTCAATCTGTTCACTATGTTGCTTTGAGGATCAGACAGTTATTAAGAAAACACTGTACATTGTGGAACTCTCTACAGAAATACGAGTTTTTTTACTAAATAAGAAGTATTCAAATTTGAACTTTTATGGTTAAAAGTGCTTTATTGTTTCATTCATCTTAGTTATTTCATTTTGTTTCCTTTTTTCTGATTATTAACATAGCTATGATAATTATTTCATTGTGGTTCCTAGTTCTGACTGCCTCACTTCTGAGGAGGAAGGGAGACCCAAGGAGGGAGCTTCTTGCCTTTCTCCTCACACCGTCAGTGGAGGGTGATGACCACGGAGGATGGCAGTTACTGAGCATTCCGAAGACCGCAGTGCTGTACACCACCTCATTTAATCCCCACAGCTCTCTGAAACAGACACTCACTCTGGCAACACCTATACTAAAAACTTGGCATTTTAGCCAAAACAGAAAACACTAACTGAGCTTCCCATTAATGGCTGTGCTAGGCTCTGTGTTAGGGGTGGTGAGAGGCAACAATAATAATTGTAAAAATGTTGATCAGAGCTAACACTTGTCCAGGGCCTCTGTGTGCCAGACTTTATGCATATCCTGAAATCTTTTGGCTGCTATATGAGATAAGTGGAATTATAGTTCCAGGAAACTGAGATGTAGGCTATGTAAAGAGCTTCACACAGGCCATCTACCTTCACAAGTATCCATCTACTTTTCTTTCTTTTCTTTTATGCCTTTCTTTCTTTCTTCCTTTCTTTTTTTTTTTTCTTTCTTGATACTGGGGAGAGAGCCTCATGCTTGGTAGGCAAGTGCACTACCACTTGAGCTATGCTCCAGGCTCTCTTACTTCACAATCTAATAGGGGAAATAGGTTCACAAAGAGACAATTACAGCCTAGAATTATGTTCACAAGTATTTTCTCAATAAATTTTGACTTTTTTCCCTTCATTTTCCATTTTCTTTTTGACCCCACTAGTAGGAAATAATAGTAATAGTGACCCATCAATCAGCAGCATCACCTTTGCAAGGGGGATAAGCTGTTTCATCGCACTGGTATGATTTTCCACAAAACTTTCTCTCCTGATACATTTTTTACACTAAGCCAGACCTGCCTTGTATACATCTTTGATCCCACCATGCCCAGTTCTCAGAGTTGTAGAACCAGAGGGCACAGGTTTGCCCTCCCTGCCCACACGTCATCCATCATGGCATGGACACAGAACTGAGTTGTCTGTGAGGCAGTGCTCTCTGTTTGAGAGAAGACTTTCCAGCCAGCTCTCTTCTGTCTTTTAGGCTTGGTAAGCATGATTTTTCTGCATTTTCTCTCCACCACTGAGGATAAGGCTGGCATCAAAATGACACTATCATCTGATTTCTGCCTCTCTTCTTGGTTTTCCTTGTACTTGTTATGTAACAGGAAAAGAAGACTGAGAAGATGACATGCCGTCAACCATAAGTGACTTTCAAAGCCTAGACTTAAATTTTAGAGAGATGGAAAGGCTTTGAGTTGGTGTGATGTATGGTATTGAGGGTCTTGCAAAGTTAGCTTCTTTCCATGAAAATTCATTGTAGGATTTAACCAGCCTGCAAGAAACTTACTCAGTAACAGGTCAGTGTGGCTTGGGGTCCATACCTGATAGGAGTTCCTGTGACCTGAGGTGAAGGCTGGGCAATGTGAGTGGTACTGGGACAATCCACTCTTGTGATGGAATTGGACCGCCTCGTAAACATAGGATGACTTATGTGTGTGTTCACTACACTTTAGTGTGGAAGGAACATAGATTTGTCAAAACACAAAAATGTTCTGGATTAAAAGAGTTGGCCAAGTAGTTCTGTGGTCATCCTTATGAAGGTCTGCATGTCCCAGTGAGAGAGAGGGATAGGGATGGTTTACATCTCCCTACGACAACATTCCTTTCTGAAATCTGAGGACAGTTGGAAAGTGAAGCTTCCTTATGGGATGAAGAATTGCATTGTGCTCCATGATTCTCTCTCCTTACCTAGAGAACTTAGATCTTAGGCACTTTAGCATACAGTGGCAGGGCTCTTAAACTGAA